AGTACTGCTCTAATAATAATCTAGGAAATGTAATTGTTGTCACTGCCAATATTATTGATGATATCATATCACAACGATTGTTATCATTACTGAATGGTGTTTTTACAAATACTGTTACCACGCAACAATGAGCAATATTAATGTACCTCGATTCAATTATTCTTTAATAAACATCATTAATGCCGCGATTTGCAATCGTAATTACCAATTATTAATCGAGTAATCATTCGAAATCCTTAACAGATTCGTTTTATCGCCAACAACACTACTGATTATTTCAATTGCTACCTCGTTACTATTACTTTATTATTATTGTTGTCAATATCATTTTACTATTACGTTATTTTTGTAATAATAAATTATGACATCAACCACCTTAGGCTGTCGTAAAGAAATGAATATTCGAAAGCTGACACTGAATAAAACAGAAATAGAATCAATCAGAAAATCAAGTCGTTTTCTCGCAACGAAATGATAATAATGACGAGATCAACGATGATAACAATAACAAAGAGCACAATAACAACAATTACATTTCCTAGATTATTATTAGAGCAGTACTCAAATATTTTACAGAGATGCTAACTCGCTAGCTCACACGATCATTCTACCCATCACTGTTATGATCATTTCTGTTTTTTTTNAAATCACTCTAAAGTCTGCAGGCGCGGCTTTTATCGCTGTCATTTCTAACGATTCTCAAATGACAAGTAATGCACAAGTAATCCAAACCAACCAATGAATTCTTCATCTGAAAACCGCTTAATTCACCGATAACGTAAAAAATTACTTGCGCAGAAAAGTTTGCGAACGCTTCAAGTTTTTAATTTGTATGCCTCACGCATATGAAGATAATGGCTTTGTTTGCGTAAGGTGATGAAAGTGTGTGAATACAAATAATCATTATCTACAACACAATAATTTTGTTATTCAACGTGTTGTTGTTTTTCTGTTTATTTGTTGACGTAGTGTTATGTAAATATACGTATACAACCATCGTGTGTGCTTATAAAAATGAATCTATGCATAACGAGTTAATTGAATGAGTGAAGAAATAAACAAATAACTGATTTTGAGCAAAATGCTGAGAGAATGAATGTGTTCACTCGATGGATTAGCATTCATTTCGTTTCAATTCATTTGAATTTTTGTTTATCACTTATTGCTTTTCAGTTTATTCGTATTCTTCGACTTCTCGTCAAAAAACCTTTTGATGATATTGAGATGATATGAGTGAATGAATGAATATTCATTGAGAATTGACTGGTTTACAACGACTGAGTGCAAGTGAGTTGGTTGACTCGGAGGACTCGACACTGATTACTGGACGCAGCGAAACGAAAAACTCGTACGAGATACGCACGAAAGG